TGATGAACATGATGAAACTGATGATGCTGATCATGTTTATTGCGATGCTGATGATGATGATGCTGATAAGGATGATGACGATGATGATGATGATGATGATGACGATGATGACGATGATGCTGATGATGATGCTGCTGATGATGATGATGATGATGATGATGATGATGATGATGATGATGATGATGATGATGATGCTGATGATGATGATGATGATGGTGGTGGTGGTGGTGGTGGTGATGCTGACAACGATGCCAATGATGACACGGACGAGGACGGTGATGCTGCTGCTGATGCTGCTGCTGCTGATGCTGTTGGTGGTGATGATGATGACGACGATGATGCCTGCGAGGCGGATGAAGAGGAGGAGGAGGAGGAGGAGGAGGAGGAGGAGGAGGAGGAGGAGGAGGAGGAGAAGGAGGAGAGGGGGAGGTGGAAGAGGAGGATCAGGAGGAGGAAGAGGAGGAGGATGATGGTGAGGAGGAGGAGCAAGAGATGAGGCCGAGGAGGTAGAAGGGGACGAGTTGGAGGATGCAGGTGCTGGTGGAGGAGGCGGAGGCGGAGGAGGTGGAAGCGGTGAGGAGGCAGCTCGATCCAGAGAGGAGGCGGAGGGAATGTGATGTAAGACCTCACCGCGGGTGACTAGAGGGCATTTTTTTCTGGCCTTTTGATGGTCCCCCAAGGGCCCAAGAGCGGCCCCGAGAGGTCCAGAGTGGTGGCACCTTTGCCTTCCTTGATGTTGCTCGAGATGGCCTGGGTCCCGATGGCGGTCGTCACGATTCTCTCTGGCCGCCGGATGCTGGGGGTCGAGGGGTCCCAAGGTGATCCCTGGACTTGCCCGACCAGGGTCGATGGCGAATCCAACCTCGGCGACGAGGAGCCTCCCAGAGGTCTGCCGACGGGCGAGCAGCTGGCGGAGCCTCGAGCCTCGAGCCTCGAACCTCGAGGGTCGGCCAGCAGTGGGCTTACGTCGGGCCTGTCCCTCTACAGGAGGAATATTCAAACATAGCCATCAACAAAATAATGAGGGGACGATTTTTTGAGCATTTTTTGGCATTTCTGGGGTATTTTTCTGACTATGTTTTACTTTTCGTCCCACATCCCCCTGTAGGGGCACAGCCCTGGCGGGGTCAGGCGCCTCCGGTGCAGCGGGCTTAGGGGGCCACATGCGAGCCCTACCCCTGCCCCCCACGATTCCTGAGGGGGAGGGTGGGGTTCACTCCGTTCGGGAGCTCCCGAGCGAAGTACACCCCACCCTCCCCCTCAGAAATCGTGGGGGGCAGGGGTAGGGCTCGCATGTGGCCCCCTAGGGCTGGCCTGCGCTCCCCCCTCTGCACGCGCGAGCCGAGGGCGGGCACACGTCCCGCCCGTCGGGCGGCGCGTGGGCGCGTGCACAAGTCGCCCCCGCGCGCCCCCCGGCGTCCCGCCGGCCGCCGCTGCCCGCGCCCGAGGGCCGCCGCGTCGGCCGAGGCCTCGGTTCGGGCAGGGCGGGGCTCCCGTGCAGACCTCAGCGGGACGCAGGGGGGGCTGCTGGCCTCGAGTGCCCTGGAGGAGAAATGGCGCGCAACGGCCGCGGTCGGCAGCAGCAGGAGGAGAAGGCGTGGGGGGGAGGGGGAGGCAGGACTCCTGCTCCTCCCCCTTCTCCGAGAAGGGGGGAGGAGTGGGATGGGCAGGAGGAGGAGGAGGAGGATGGGGAAGAGGAGCAGGAGGGAGGGGACCTGGGGAGGGAGGAGAGGGGGTGGAGGACAAGAGGGGAGGTAATTATGAGAAGGAACGCGTAAAGGCGGATGATGATGATGATGATGATGATGATGATGATGATGATGATGATGATGATGGTGATGATGATGACGATGACGATGATGATGATGATGAGGATGAGGAGGAGGAGGAGGAGGATGAGGATGATGATAATAATGATGATGGTGCTGATGATGTTGATGACGATGGTGATGATGATGATGATATTGATGATGATGATGCTGATGATGATAACGGTGGTTGTGGTGGTGGTGATGGTGATGATGATGCTGGTGATGATGATGATGGTGATGCTGGTGATGACGATGATGATGATTGTGATGATGCTGATGCTGATGCTGATGATGCTGATGATGATAATGATGCTTCCGCTGATGCTGCTGATGATGCTGATGATGATGCTGATGGTGATGTTGCTGGGCTGATGATGCTGATGATGATTATGATGCTGATGCTGCTTCTGATGATGATGATGATGATGATGGCGATGCTGATGATGATGACGATGATGATGATGACGATGCTGACGATGGTTATACTGGTGATGATGACGACGATGCTGATGATGCTGATTTTGATGCTGCTGATGCTGATGATGATGATGACGATGATGATGACGACGATGCTGATGATGGTGATGATGTTGCTGATGATGATGCTGATCATAATGATGCTGATGTTGATGATGATGCTGATGCTGATGACGATGCTGCTGCTGCTGATGATGATGATGATGACCTTG